AGTGAGCTGTGTCACCATGCCCAGTATGACCTGCAGGGCTGTATAATCAATCATAGAACCCATTCTGTGGGGGAGAATCATACTCCAGAGTAGGGATGTAACGGGATAACTGTTTACACAGTTAACCGTAAAGCCTGGGCTTATCGGTTACCATGAACAGTTACGTGCAGGCTCCTGTCCTGCTTCCGGGGAGCTGACTGCCACCCTGCACTGCTGGCTGTATCAGAGGCAGCCGCATGGGGCAGCAGCCAGTGTGTGCCAGGAGCCAGCTTAAAAGCTAGCTCCTGGCAGGCACTGGCTCCCAGGGAGCTGATATTAGAAGCAGTAGCATAGGATGGCGGTCAGCTCCCCAGGAGCAGGGCCAACAGGCAGGAGCCCCAGTATGCACTGGGCTGCGGGTGCATGTAATTGCTAAAAATTTCAGTGGTTATGTGGTTACCCAATTATCCACTTTTAAACATCCCTACTCCAGAATCGATGCTTTTGGCTAGATTCCTGCAGCTTCTGCTGCGTGGTTCTGCCTCTTCAGTGCAACGTTCTAACTTACTGTTCTTAATTGTCAATATAAAATTCAACTAGTGCAATGGCTCGTGTTCCTGACAATGGTAGTAAATATCATATTTAAGTCAATAGAACCTCCCTGGAATTCTTGTCCACTTCATGGGAGCAAAGGTCCCTTGCTATGGAATACACGCTAAGTACCTAGGAGAGGGCAGGGGTTCCTACCCCATGGCTATGTGCTCAGTGCACTACATGTGTCATCTCTGTGCAAGTCTGAAACTGGAGGGAATTCTGCCAAAAGGAGGGTTTATCTGGTGGCTCTCTGAAAGAAAGGAAGGCCGGCCTTCCAGCTCCTGCACAAGTGAAACTCTGTTCTCTGCATTACTTACAGAAGTCAGCAATGCCTCCGAGGGGAAGGCAACCACCCTGCAGCTACAGCTCCCTGGAGCTGTCTGGAAAAACACCTCTGCCACCCTTCAGACAGGCTTTTCTTCACACCTGCTGAATGCTCACCTTCTACTCCAATATTTATGTTGTAAGTGGGCTACAGCTCACTACAGTGAGTGTTTGAATTGCATGATACTCTGCACGCTCACTGGGGCTTTCTGCTGCAGCTGCTAAATGCCCTCTGCTTCCATTTTGGAGTGTGGCGAGAAGAGGATTTGGCTTTGTGAGGGTGGGAAACCCTAGAAAGTGAATGCATAGAGTGGGCAGCTGGCAGGACTTAGTATTTTGATGAGAGACATGGAGTCTATGGGAGCATGCCTGCACCAGAGAAGGTTACTCAGCATAAACTCATAGAAATGAAGAGCCAGAAGGGGCCTTGTCCCCATATGGAAGAAAGGCAGTGGTGTTGGAGATGCAGCCAGATTCTTGTGCTTTGGATCTGAATTAAGATGACCCCTCAGTTTGGTTCAGACTCATCATTAAAATAGAACACCGTTCATCATACCCAAAGTATCCCTTCACCAGGGAGAACGCAGCTAGAATTCAAGGACAGTCACTGTAAACAAATGCTGAGTGTTGTGCCTATTGGTGTTTCTCAAGTGGAGTGCCTGGAGGATGTGAATTCTGACTGGCCTTGATCATAGGGGAAATGTATGCATGATGTTGTGGCTACAACGGGAAGCCCCACCTCTTCTCACAGCACAGACTTCCTCTCTTAGATCCCCACCAGCCTCTAGCACACACAGAGGATCTATGAGCTTGATTATTCGTGTTCTGTGCTGCAATTGTCCATTCTTTGGAAATCTCTTTTCGATTGGGAAGGCAGCACTTTCCTGCCCACCAGTCCACATTCCCCTCCATCACTTTTCAGGGGCTTAGTGATGGTTCATTATTCTAATTTTTTCTTCTTACATATTTACACACACTTGTAAAACTACCTTGAGCTGGGAACAAAGGAAATGGGGTCACCACCTACTTCATCCTTTTGGGGTGTACTTGGGCCCACAAGTGCTGGATTCTGCTAAAACCACTAGAGCTCAAGTATGTCAAGTCTTCTCCCTCCAAGTTGGACATTTTTCCTGCAGTAAATTCTCAAACTCTTTCTTTCTCCCTCCACCCCCATGCCATTTCCCCTCCATTCTTTATCCTCTACCAAGTCACTTTTTAAATATATGGTTCTATCACCTAAACTGCCTATGGGCCCACAAGTGCTGGATTCTGCTAAAACCACTAGAGCTCAAGTATGTCAAGTCTTCTCCCTCCAAGTTGGACATTTTTCCTGCAGTAAATTCTCAAACTCTTTCTTTCTCCCTCCACCCCCATGCCATTTCCCCTCCATTCTTTATCCTCTACCAAGTCACTTTTTAAATATATGGTTCTATCACCTAAACTGCCTAAGGTGGATTCAGCAGGGTCTAATGTGCTTTTTCTGGGGACTAATTATTTTCCGAGCTTTCTGCATGGGCCTTCCAAACAGACACACGAAAAGAGAAAGCTACAAGTGGATCATAAATGGAGCCTGCCAGCCTTTCTTCCTCAAGCCATAACAGACAGAAATGTGACTTTCCTCCTCTCAGGTCATCACACCGAACTTCTGCATGAAAGCAGATACATGCCTGCCTAGAGTACTCCACCCCAAGTTACCTTGCTTGTTTAGGGGGTGGGGTAAACCTAGAGAAGAACCCTTGTCTGGACAGGAAAGTTGGTTTAAGAGGGATTTGTACTACCCCTCAAGTGGCTGATTCTGTGAAATTGTGAAAACTGTTTTAGTGCAGGGTGTGACTTTCCACGTCGAATATTCCCTTCCCCATTAGGTGAAGAATGCTAGCAGCCCTGTGTCTTAAAGGGAAGCTTTTTCTGTGGACTGCCTCACTTCTGCTTTGAGTACAGCCAGCTAGCCAGCCGAAATTGACTAATGTGTGGCACCCACACTGAATTGCTAAGGGTGGCACACTGACAGACATGGGAACACTCTAGCTTCTGGGAAGGAGAAGGGGAAGAACACAGAAGGGGGAAAGCCGGGACAACCTATGAATGGAGGAATGAATGTCTCCGGGAGTAGGCATGTGAGCAGAAACATGCGTAGTCAGACCCCCCCCACCCGCCATGCGTCCTGTGACCAGCTTTGTGCCCTGTATGTTGCACACATCAGTCAGGCAGATGTCTAAACACTTGGTTTGCCACTGTTCCATTGGCTTTGTAGCGCAGTTGGCTTGGCTGGAAGACCAATGTCTGTCCACTGTTAATGCCTGCATTATGTTAGTCAGGCCACTTGTTGACTTCAGTCTCTCAGATTATTTCTGGGGGCTTGGGAAGGGCGAAGTAATAAGGAAAATAACTCTGTAAACGTTTCTGGACAGATGTTCAAGCAGCCTGGCTGCAAACAGGAGCCAGCCTGCGCTTGCCTGTGATGTCCTTAGAGAACAGCAGCCTGTGTGTAGATTCAGCTGCTAAAATGTATTCACTGCTCAGACTTCTCTCCCCGTTCCCCCCCTCGTTGTTGTCTTCCTAGACAATAGAGTTCAGCATTCATTCTAAACAGTTCTTTGGGGTCACTCCTTTTTCCCAAGCCCTTCCCCCTTTAAAACTGAAAATGACTGTATGATAGCTCACGTGTGGACAAAGGTAACAGATTTGTCTCCACACACCACTGGGTTGTCTGTCATTTTGGTGTTAGGCACTGGCCTCTGCCCACCCAGTAGTGCACTGGAGCCAGGATAATTCAGATCAGAGGCAGGTGTGATGGAGGCTGATTCTGTGTGTGAATAGAGACCATACTGCCCATCTGCACATGTTGGCATTTCCCCTTGCTGGTAGCACACAGGATGATGGATGCAAGAGTAGCTCGGAGCTTGTTTCTCTTGCCTGAGAGTGACGATAATTTGTGTGACAAGGTGGGTGAGGTAATATCTTTTATTGGACTGACTTCTGTTGGTGAGAGACAGGTTTGCAATCTGAGTTTCATTTGTCTGCTTCCGTTACGCTGCGTGCTGATCTGATGTAAGAAACAGGGTGGAGGAAAAAACAAGGGGAGGAACACCCCTTTCTTCAGCTAATGTGCTGCAGCTTGAGAGAAACATACCTGTTGCTAGCATATCTGGTCCTTATCATTGGTAGGCCCTGTGGAAGATGTGGTCAAGGGAGTGCTCTCAGGTCTTCCCCTACTTGATCTAGGGCTTCCGGAAGTGCCACGGCAACACAGATCAATACAACATAAGGTGCTGGCTTATTGAGGGAAGTTAGTTTTAACTTCTGGTGCTTTGCCTCATGAGAGAAACATACCTGTTGCTAGCATATCTGGTCCTTATCATTGGTAGGCCCTGTGGAAGATGTGGTCAAGGGAGTGCTCTCAGGTCTTCCCCTACTTGATCTAGGGCTTCCGGAAGTGCCACGGCAACACAGATCAATACAACATAAGGTGCTGGCTTATTGAGGGAAGTTAGTTTTAACTTCTGGTGCTTTGCCTCATTCTCCCCCCCCCAAGCAGCTGCCTGCAGACCCCCCCTCCCTGGTGCACAGCTGCACTGGCAAATGCTGAGCATGTTCTGGGGCAGTGGGGAAACTCCAAGGCTGTTGCTGGCTCAAAGTGTACAGCAGGAGGCCCTGCTTTGTGACTGCTTATGGTCTGAGTGTTTTCAGAGATGCCAAGCACTGCAGCTCCTACCAAAACAGAGGGGATCTGTGGACCCCTCAGGACTTCTAAAAATCAGGTCATAGTACAAAACCTCTTGCACTCTGGAGCTATCTTAGTTTCCAGTTTTTTCCTGTAACATTGATGGGGTCTGCTCCTTGACTACTTTTAAAGCACCTTCCCTCCTGCAGCCAAGAAACTGGAGAAAGGTAAAAGGGATTGTTGTCACCTTACATCAGTAATCCTACCCACTGACTCTTTGTAGCAAAGATGTGTCTGCAGATTCTCCCTACTTGTATTGCAGGCACTTCATAAAGGAGTTGAGTGAGAACTGGGAAAATGGAGCCTGGGTTAACAAGTTGAAGGCCTCATCTTGTTCTTTCCTTAAGTCCGTGTTCTTACTGTGGATTTTACATTACAGGCCAAGAATAAGGAGACAGGAGCATTGGCTGCTGCAAAAGTCATTGAGACGAAGAGTGAAGAGGAACTGGAGGATTATATGGTAGAGATTGAAATCCTGGCAACCTGTGATCACCCATACATTGTCAAGCTCCTGGGAGCATTTTACCATGGCAGCAAACTCTGGGTAAGAAGCTGTTACTGCATGCCATGTATGTTCTTTCTCTCCAGGCTGGGAAGGCAAGATGCACTGACCTCATGTCAAAGTGACCTCTGCAGAGTCTCTGACATGAATCTCAGAAAATATCTGGGAGTTGTGAACAAGGCACAAAGGGTGCACTATACACTGTTCCTAGTGTCCAGGTCTCCCTCTTTTCTTCTCATTGGATGAGCTGCTGAGAGAGCCCAAACAAATTCCCAAGACCCTTCTTAGGGAAAAGCCTGCAGTGATTGGATGTTCTACCCTTTCACAAGTGTTTGAAGGGTAGGAGCCTGGTTTTCCTATTTGGAGATTACAGAAAGGTTTAGTGGCCCGCTTCTCCCCTCTGCTCCCAATTCCTCACCTCGCTTCTCTTAGTATGGTACCTGATTTAAAAGTAATCTGAATAACATGGGTTTCTAAATGGTCTGAGTCGTCATTGCAGAGTAGGCTGCTGTGATGCACAAGCTGCTGATGCTAAGAACTTAATACTTCTGGGCATTCTGTTGCTGTAACACAAAATGCAATCAAACAAGTTTCTTCAATGGCTACTCATTGTGAAACTTGCAGAACAGCTGCACAATGCTACGTTTTTCTCCTTGTCCCGTCTCTGACAACAGATTCTACTTAGTAACCGGTCCCCTTATGCTACTCAGATACTCAAGGTGTGGCTACGGGGAAGGTCCCGGGGTTCTGGTGCTACAGAAAGACTCTTGTCTTTTCCTACTGAATTCAGACTGTGGTGGATGTCCATGAGGATGCCTGCATGGGGCTCTAGAAATTGGGACATATGTAGATCTTTCACCATTGTATTCTGTTTTCTCTTTGTTCACTTTGCCACTTTCACAGCTGCCCTGTCTTGCAACTACATCTGGGTGTCCCTAGAAGCCTTGACATTATAGCCTTGCAACTTGCTGGGTTTGGGAGCAATCTTAATGCGTTTCCCCTCAAGCATCTTCAGTTTCCCAGCAGATTGCTCTCTATTCATAGACTAGAACATTTACCCAGTGTGGCTCAGGTCCTTATCTCAATTAATTTTTTGTTTTCTTCATTTAAATCCTTGCTCTAAGGTGCATTTAAATCATGAGGGGTTCAGTATGCAGACTGCCCCAGAGAGAGGAGTACCCCAGCCCCCTCTCATTGCAGCAGCTAGGGGCCTGGTGAGAAGTGCCTCTCCAGGGCTGCTGCAGCTCCAGGTTCATCTGCCCCTTGCGTTCCCCAGCCAGAGTGAGGAATGGAGCAGATTGTGCACTTCCCCTCACTCCCTGAGGAAGGGGAGCAGCCAGCAATGTTCTCATGAATTGGGTGGTAAGGGGTGCTGTAGCCCCTCCCACCTTCCCTAAAGAGTGCCTGTGGGGTAGGAAGCTTGGGATTGGGCAAGTGCCATATGCAGAGGGGAGTGCGCCCCCAGCCAGCCTCTTTCACCTGCCTGGTGATGGTCTCTCTTCTGTATGGTTTTATGCATCCCTGTACAAATCTGGAGGGGCGGGAGAGCATCAGACACTCTCCCCAAACAACCAAAATCTGACCTTGCTTTAAGTTGTGATAAGCTGTATACCAAATTTGGTAGTCTTACTCTTACTGTCTAGAACAGTATTTCTTAAACTGTGTTCCAAGGCAAAATGGCTGCCCTTTTCTTCCCTCCCCCCCCCTTTTGTTGAGCAAAAAAAAATATCCTGGGTGTTCCTCATAAAAAAAATATATATTGTTTGGTGTTCCTCTGTCTTAAAAAGTTTAAGAAACACTGGTCTAGGAGGAGTTCTGGAACAGATGGATGGGTGGACAGATTAGACTCACTCTCAGACAAATGCTCTCAAATATACGGGAGTAGATTATAGTCCAGAAGGGACCACAGTGCGCTAATCTGACCTCTTGCATAGCGCGGGCCATGCAGTTTCCCTGAATGAATTCCTGTTGGGATGAGAGTGTGTCATTGAGAGAGTTACCCATTTTCGATTTTAAAAATTGCCTGTAACAGAGAGTCCGCCACAACTGTTGGAATGCTATTCCAATGACTCATTGCCCTCTTGGTAAACTTGAACTAGTGGCTTCTGGAATCTGAATGTAGGACCATGCTAGCTAGTAAGGTAGCAAATCCTCTTTTCCATGAGCACTGCAACTCTGGGGAAGTTGGCTTGCAAATTGTCTGAGAACTAGCATTCAGATGGCCACTGAAGTGTTCTGTTAGGTTCAAGCATCAGAGTAAATCTGCATAACATTCCAGCAAAGGGGAAGGCAGACTTCTTTCTTAGGAGGGAATTTGGGGACCGAAGATCCCACAGACATTGTGACTTTGGCAGAAGTCAACAAAGCAAGCTAACAGGTTAGGTTTGGACACCAGACTTGTCTTACTCTACACCTCCCCCACTTCGTGTCTACCTCCTGCAGCTTCCCCTCACTTTAGTCTGCTGGTGTATGTATTGGCCTCTGTTTTGTAAAACATCAGCTTGTTCTTCCCAATGCTTCTCTGTAGGAAGCTTTCCTTCCTTCCTGTAGGAAATTCTGCATTTCCCCTTTGCCCCTCTCTGCAAAGCACTGTGTAGAGCAATCTGTCAGTGCTCGCTGACCTACTACAATTACAGTCCTTTAGAAACTAATGAAACCAGATTCCCTTGTATCAAAGCCTCCCATGAGGGAAAATCTTTTTATATCTCAATCCATTGTTAGATGTTTGTGGCTAGTGTCCTGGTTTTGGTTATTTGCAAGTGGCATTTGTCTTCTGCCATTTATGCTGTTCATTTAAATACTCCTGCATTTCACTGGGCTTGGAGGAATTAAACAGGCCAGTCAATTCCACTCTTAGCGTTACATCTCCTAGCTGCAGCGCAGATGTAATTCCCAGCTTGGATAGATCTGTGCCTGCTCTGAGTGAGCTAGTGCCCTGTAAATAGCAGCATGGCGACTCAAGCTAGTTGCCTGAGCACAACCCCACCAAGATCAACATTTGCAATGTTCTCTTGCAGCGAATACGAGGCTGCAGTGTTTGGGTTGCAAACTTTGCTAGGGAACGTTTGCCTCCAAATAGGGGGTTTTATTGTGTGTTTAAAAACATAAATTTCTGTTGTTAGAATTGGGGAAAACCATTTTTTCCTGTAGACGTTCAGAAGTCAGAGAGGCAAAAACTATGAAATTTCCCTCAGAGGGTAAGTGCAGAAGTAAAGCCCTGTCAAAACTGCTGTTGGGATGCTCCCACAAAAAAGAAATCTCTGTGCTGAACCATGTCAGAAAGCAGTGCGGGTCCCTGGTGGTCTGAGAGTGGTGTGAGGCATTGCAAGGCATCGCCTATCCGGTGAGGGAATCATGACTTACTCCTCTTGCCTGGCAGTGGCGCGCTCGGCTCCCAACACAGTATTGCGGCAACCTGCGTGACACTGACGCCTCAACAGACTGAACCAAGTGTTCCAACACTGGCACCAGTACTGAGGGGTTTTGCCTCATTTTTTGGTAGGCTGCTAAGGGCGGTGTTTGTGGAGTGAACTTCTGCATGAGGGAAGGTGGATAAGAATGCTCCCAACCCTGAAGAAGGTTAATTGAAAATACTCACCCTTATTTCATAGGCAGCCAGTTTTTTGCCTGAATTATTATGAAGTTGAGTGAAAAGAAGGCCCTGCATTCTTGTGGGAGGGGAAGAGCCTACTGCAGGTCACGGGTAAAGAGTGCCAAGTTTGGAGACCCTGCTGAGTTTTTTATGGGATGGAGTTGGCCTTCTCACAACATGCAACTTAAAATTCCTCAGAGTGGAAATACATCACTGTGATGTTGTGCTCCATGCACCGTGCCAATAGTTACTGGCTTACTCCATTTTCTTCTGCTCTGGGCAAGGGCTAAGCAGTCTTATGCTGTGTTTAAACGGCCCCAAGAAGCTCCGCAGTGTTGCCAACTCTCATGCTTGGGAGCCTGCCGATATTTGGTGTATGTTTTGTAAAGCCCAGTTGCTGGAATTGGGGCACTAAATGAAAGTGGAGAACCTCATGTAAGTTTCTAGCCCTTAGGGTTGGGGAGAGAAGCTTGCAAAGGTGACCTGAGGGCAGCCTTTTGGCTCAGGAGCTTAAGGCAATACCCACGCCTGCCCCCAATATCTGTTACTAGAAATCATCTCAAATAGCTTTATGGGGGCCTGGGCCTTGTGGCTCTTGAATGCCTGGGGTTGGCACTACTGATGAGAGACTGTTGCTAGGGTGACCAGATGTTCTGTTTTTAAAGTGACAGTCTCCTATTTAAGGCCTTCTGCGAGTATCTTGGCTTTTCTTCAGAAAAGGGCAAATTGTCCCATATTTTCTTCCTTCTTCCTCAGTAACAGGTCCTGCTGCTGGCCAGATCTGTGCTTGCCAGTCAGCCACCCCCCCTCCCTGGTGCACAGCTGCACTGGCAAATGCTGAGCATGTTCTGGGGCAGTGGGGAAACTCCAAGGCTGTTGCTGGCTCAAAGTGTACAGCAGGAGGCCCTGCTTTGTGACTGCTTATGGTCTGAGTGTTTTCAGAGATGCCAAGCACTGCAGCTCCTACCAAAACAGAGGGGATCTGTGGACCCCTCAGGACTTCTAAAAATCAGGTCATAGTACAAAACCTCTTGCACTCTGGAGCTATCTTAGTTTCCAGTTTTTTCCTGTAACATTGATGGGGTCTGCTCCTTGACTACTTTTAAAGCACCTTCCCTCCTGCAGCCAAGAAACTGGAGAAAGGTAAAAGGGATTGTTGTCACCTTACATCAGTAATCCTACCCACTGACTCTTTGTAGCAAAGATGTGTCTGCAGATTCTCCCTACTTGTATTGCAGGCACTTCATAAAGGAGTTGAGTGAGAACTGGGAAAATGGAGCCTGGGTTAACAAGTTGAAGGCCTCATCTTGTTCTTTCCTTAAGTCCGTGTTCTTACTGTGGATTTTACATTACAGGCCAAGAATAAGGAGACAGGAGCATTGGCTGCTGCAAAAGTCATTGAGACGAAGAGTGAAGAGGAACTGGAGGATTATATGGTAGAGATTGAAAT